CAGAAGAAAGAGATGTTTTTACAAGCAGCTTTTCATGTAAAACAGCTTAAAATAGCCCCTGTGACCCTGTGACATTGTTCCACTTGTGCAGGCAGATTTGCAAACAGAAGCTTGAGGCCAGGTTAGAGGGTTGGTGGAATTTTCCTGTTTCCAGGATTTGAATTTTGTCTAACGGCCATGTTGCTTTAATAAAAAACGAAACAAACAAAAACAAAAACAAAACACGAAAGGGAATTCAGGCCCTTTGAATGATTCAGTATGGGTAGCTCTGTCCCATTGACTCACCGCTGTGAAAATGGGATCCTGCCCGGACAGAATTCTGAGGTGTGATAATGGCCTGTAACATTACGGCAGAATGGCCGGTTCGGTAAGACCGGATCACTGTGGGTCAGATCTTGCCTTCACAGCCAGGGGAGGTGACAGCAGGAAGCAGAAAGGTTCTTAATTCTCACCTGTGTCAAGTTCTGTCTCACCGTTGAAGGGTCTTTGGATTTCCAGAAACTTCCTTCAGAACATCTGCACAGGCAATGTTACTGAGGGCTGATTTGCTTACACTGAGCTTAGTGACAATATATGAACTTTCTTGTAGATAGAAAAATGCACTTTCTGCTCTCTCTACACAGTCTTTCGCTTATTCTCATCTGTCTTATTCCCTGAAAAAAAAGTTATGAAATCAATTGTGTGTCTTTAAAATGGTAAGTTCTTAACGTTGGGATATACATCATATACTATAAATACAGGGCAAATTCTACTCTGTGGAACTGATCATTGAAAGGATTCTTTACTTACAAGTAAGTTATTAAGAAATTATATGCCCAAACCTTCCGAACTAGAGAGTTCAAAAGACAGGTGCTCACACTCTGTGTTGTAAACTTGTGTTTGAAAAAGATGTTGTCTGAATTCGATAGACAAAGGAAAAAGAAACCATCCACAGCTTCCTCGTCACTCCTAAGCGCTGGACCTGTTTGTGCTCGTATGAGGATCAAAAAGTTTAGCTTAAAAAATAGGTGTTTTTTTTTTTTTTGTCGTCGTTACTGGTTTTAATTTTCAGGAGGGAGGAAAGGAGACTTACGAGAAATACATTTCCGGTGGATCACAGATAGGGAGTCAAATGAAATGACTGATCAAACACAAGAGGACTAGAAGGAATCCCGTGGAAGTGTTTTTATGATTTTTAAGCGTGGAAGCTCTTTGAAAGTATGGCACAAAATCCAGATGCTGTGTAGAAAAAGATTCAAAAACTGTACTGCATAAAATTTTAAAGAATCTGTATCTTGAGAAAAAAATTTAATGACAAGTAGGAAAAGTATTTGAAACATTATTGACAAAGGGTTAATTTTCTAATACAGAAATTTTCATGTGCAATGACTACATAAAAAGAGTGGAGCCAGTTCCAGTTCCAGTGGAAGCATGAAACAGGAATTGGTTACAAATAGGAAATTTGCACTAAAAGAAATACAATAATCCGTAAATGTACACACATACACTAAATCTTAATCTCACAACTGAGTAAATAGAACAGATGAGTAGAAATGTGTTTTGATCTATCAGAAAGGACTAAGTTAGGGAAAAAAAGCATATTCCAGCATGGAATAGGGAGAGGAGAGTTACCCTCCAAATTGTTGACTGGTACAAAATTATTAATACCCAGAACTTCCATCTCATCAGCTCCATGTATAGAAGTTTATCTTGTAGAAAATACATACAGGAGCATCTGGGTGGCTCAGCCAGTTGAGCGTCTGACTTTGGCTCAAGTCACGATGTTGCATTTCATGGGTTTGAGCCCCACGTCAGGCTCTGTGCTGATAGCTAAGACCCTGGAACCTTTTTTGGATTCTGTGTCCCCATCTCTCTCTGCCCTTCCCCTGTGCATGCTCTCTCTCCCCCTCTCTCTCTCAAAAAATAAATAAACATTAAAAAAATTTTATACAAAAAAAGAAAATACATAGAAAGATGTGCATTACAGCCTTGCTTTTAAAGGATTTGAATAAAAGTTCGTTCCTCTAGATAACAGAATACTATACAGCCATATAAGGAATAAGGCGGAGCTGTATATACTGATGGAAGAAAATGTCATGGTATATTTTTTTCATTTTTCATTTTATATAGAGAGAGCGTGATGGGGGTAGAGGGGCAGAGAGAGAAGGAGAAAGAGGGAATCTCAGAGCATAGCCCAATGCGGAGCTTGATCCCACAACCCTGGGATCATGATCTGAGTTGAAATCAAGAGTCAGCTGCTTAACTGACTGAGACACCCAGGTGACCTGTCACAACGTATTTTTATGTGTAAAAAGCAAAATAGGCTGTGTGTACACTCCCCTCTGCATGTGTTACATATGAAAAACCAAAATATATATGTATATATAGACATATCCATACATGAATACGTATTTGTGCAAAGAAAATATCCCCCAAATATATAAAAGTGTGAATAGTGCCTATTTCTGGGAAAGAAAAGCATATATTTTGTCCTTTGTAACTGTTTTGAGTTTTTGCATGAAAGTACTATGTACTTGGGGCGCCTGGGTGGCTTAGTCGGTTAAGCGTCCGACTTTCGCTTGGGTCATGATCTCGCAGTTCGTGGGTTCGAGCCCCGCGTCGGGCTCTGTGCTGACTGCCAGCTCAGAGCCTGGAGCCTGTTTCAGTCTGTGACTCCCTCTCTCTCTGACCCTCCCCTGCTCACGTTGTCTCTCTCTCTCCTAGAAATAAATTTTAAAAAATATTTTAAAAAAAAGAAAAGAAAGTACTATGTACTTGTTACGGTAATTAAATAAGAAGCTACCTTAGACTGGAGCACCCTAAAACCTTGAGGGCTGACCTAAGCAAACCAAAACTGATGCCAGGGTCACTGAGCTTGTATCTGAGAATGGGAAACTTTGGAACAATGGATCTCAGTCAACCAGGCTTTCCCAAATAAGGCCACTGCTTAAGCTATAGCCAATCAAGTGATTTCCTTGGTTTGTTTCTGAGTCTTCTCTAGAAGATTCTCTCCCCTAGCTCCTGTCAGGGGAGCCTCCCAGCCTGTGCTTTCAGATTCACAATTTTAATGTACCTCAGTTTACATTTTAACATGTGCACGGTCACTTACCTTTCTAATGAGGCTATGGTGACAGCCCATTGTTTCACAGCCCTTCCCACCCAACCTCGTTCTGCTGTGAGAAGCGCCAGTTTTAACCATTTTCCTTTGAACTTCTTTGGGTGGTAAATACATATGACACAGCAACAATAAATAATAGTTTTATACCATTAGTGCTTCATTTATTGTCCTTAGAGATATCTTCCCCTGCTGTGAGACTTCTACTTCATCTTTCCCTGCTTTAGTTTCTTCATTGTAAAGAAGATTGAGTTTATTTCATTTAAAATAAATGCAGTAGCTAATTGAAGTGTTGTATTTGTAAGGTTCTGTGTGGTTGGAATGAGCTAATAGAGGTCAAGTTCTTGGAGCAGTACTTTATATGTGGTTAACATATTCGACGTGTTAATTACGATTCTTTTGTAGCATTAATATTAACAATTTAATATTACTTGTAGCAGTTCCTTGGCCCACATTTGATACTTATGCTACGGTTTCTGGTCATACTGCTGATTAATTGGTAATCCTCTAACAGATTTTCCCTGCTGTAAGGGGCCCCTTATCTCTAAGAGGACATTAACACTTCCCGGTGTACTAGCCTGCCTTTCTTTGCTTCCATTTCCTGCACGCCTGTCCTCTTGGCCCCTTCAGAGAGAGAATTCTCCAGTGTTCAATGCCCTGCTTGCCTGCAGGGTCATCTTTTGTATAATTTTGACTCTATCACTGTCACTCTGTCTGCTTCCCTCCACCGCTGAACACCCTCTCTTGTGTTTATAACATATGGGCCAAATCTTCATCTAATGAGGCCCCGGAGGTATATGAACTCTTTCATCGAGACAAAGCTAAAAGAAAATACCCACCATCTATATAACACTTCTGATATAATGTATTGAGTATAGGTGGAGCTATATTAAACACCTATTTAATTGAAATTTTTAATTCATTTTTAAGCTATGGTACCCAAAAGAAGACTTCCCTAATTTATTAATTTCAAACTAATGGTATTGAAGGGTTTTGGGTGTATTTGCTTGTCATTGTGCCAATTTCTTAAATCTTCTGTGCTTCAGTTTTCTCATCAATAAAGTAAAAATAATATTACCTCCCTCACCAGAGTTAAATGTCTCGGTGATACAATAGTTTGATATTTTATAGTAAGTGTTCAGCAAATAACATCTGTAACCAAAGTGATGATGATGGTAGTGGTGGTGGTGATGATGATGGTGGTGGTGGTGGTGGTGGTGATGACGGTGGTGGTAGTGATCTCAGTGGTGATGATGGTGCTGGTGCTGGTGGTGATGGTAGTAATGAGGATGGTGGTGATGGTGACGGTGATATTGATTATGATGATGGCGGCAGTGGTGGTGGTGGTGGTGATGATTATGAATGACAGAGGCGGTGGTGGTGATGTTGATCATGGTGATGTTGTGATGGTGGTGAGAGTGGTGGTGGTGATGATTATGATGATGATAAAGTGAAAATAATGTTCTTTATAAAAGTTGTGTCTGAAAGATAACAGGTTTTCAGCAAATTCTATCTTGTTAAAGAGGATGAAGATGGTGGTGATGGTGGTGGTGATGATAGTGACGAAGACGGTGGTGGTGGTGGTAACAACATCTAGTACTTTTGCACATTGCAAAATTCTGACTGACTTTATTCATGACACCAAAAGGCTCACATTGGCACGATCATTTAGTTGTTTCCCCTGTATCTTAGGATACATATAGATATTTCAACCAAGGGTAATTAGTTGATTTCATTAGATGCTTACTGATGTATGTTGATGGCTTGTTCTTTAGTGTGTAGGCTAAAACCGAGTTTCTCATAACTAGTTCCCATATCAATTCATAAGGGCCAGACTCACCTAAGCTTACGTCTCTTGTAGTGGGTAAGGCTGCCTTTCTGTTGACCTTTGGGTGTGTGTTTACAGCGCCTGCATTGGGGCCCAGGACCCTTACTGCGGCTGGGATATGGTGATGAAGAAATGCACGAGCCTGGAGGAGAGCCTCAGCATGACGCAGTGGGAGCAGAGCGCCTCCAGTTGTCCCGTAAGTGCACGGCCTCAAAGCGCCGTCCCTGGGAACCCAGCTGTCTTAAATCCTAACTCACACCCCAGTGGTGGCCACACATCTGGGACCCTTCTTGCACACCCAGTCTGTCTCTCTCAACTCATTCAGCTCTTAGCTTCCACCAGAGCCACAAGGGATGTTGCCGTAAGCTTCTTGTCTTCTTTGAAGAGAAAAACTTTAAGAGACAACACTGCTGATTTGGAAATGGGGTGTAAGATCACTGTTTCATTCTTGGAGCTTCTCCCCAGAAATTGGCATGAACTATTTTGCCCTTTTTAGCATTAATAAAACCGTGACTTCCACACCCAACAATTTCCTTTGGGAGCTGTAATTCCAGAAACTGAGATAAGTAGAGCTTTTAAAAGAATAGAGTAAAGGATGATACTATTGGACTCCAGATGGGACAGTCTTCCGGATCCTGCGCAGGGTCCCAGGAAGCTCTGGGAGAAACAGCATCGTGACCATTCCCACTGTGACCCCGCAGAAAGAAGAGAAACTCATTTCCATTCAGAGCTAGATTTTCCGAATCTAGCGAGGAAAACGGTTTTCTTTGCCAATTCATTTCTTTGAAGCCTCGCTTGTAAGAAGCAGTTTAATTTTTCCCCTTTGTCTTTACAACCTTTAGTGCAGTAATAATCTCAGATTCTTTTTTCTGTCCTCAGAGAATATTACCAATAGCTATTAGCCTCCGTATATTTAAAATGTGAAGTCACTGTGCTGTCACGTAGCTGCTGATGTGTCTCTGACCGTCAGTTCAGGCGCACCTCTGCAAGACAGAGGTGAGAACAGGCACGTTCCGGTATTTGACATCCATGCTGTTTCTCCGATGCAGATGTCCAGCGCGTCTGGACACACTGTTTCCTGAGAAGGGAACTGCTCTTTCCATTACCTAAGCCACACATTCATGCAGCCTATCCTAGGGGAAGGGGAAACCAGGCAATGATGGGAAGAGGAACACCAGGCAGCGACGTGAAGAAAGCTAGGGTTAGTAAAGCCAGCATCCTCTCCCAAATGTGGGCGCGAGATTGACGCCTTTTACAGCAAAGGTGTGTGTGATCACCACATCCAGGCTCTGAGCAGAGCTTTACAGGATTCGCTGCTAGACCGCTGGGCTATTTAGTTTCAGATTTTCTCAATGTTTCTTGAAGTTGATTACAGAAATGCCAGCGTTTGGGCTAAGTTCTTTCTCATTTCTGAATAATACTTTAAAAGCCCAAAGATGTTCACCTTGAATCTTTGCAGCTAGGGAAAACATAAATTTCTGAAATGTAGTTGTAAATTACAGGCATGCAGTTCCCAAGAATCAATGCTTCTTCTCACAGATGTATGACGTGGTGTTGTTAATGGCAAAAAAATGACAGAAGAATATAGTAACAGTTCTTAGAGTAGCAGTTCTTCTTAAGCGGTAAGGCCTTCGCCCTGCGACCCATGGTTTGGTGGGTATCTGAGACCTGCTTAATCATATAATGGAAGATACACACTCACCCACTTGGTTTGTAACAAATACACGTGTGATCTATTCTATAGGGAAAAAATGGAGATGACCTAACATTTAAAAGGCGGCCAGAGGGTCGTTCCTAAAGTTATCACTGCTGCTGAGAGCACAGTTTCTGTTATAATTCAAAGAAGGTCACAGGGTGACATGGACTTGCCTGATGGGAGGGCGGCCCCTTCACATCTCCACTGTACAAAACCATCCCTGTTCCCCATCTCTGTTTGTTCCCCGAAGTCAGTGCTGCATTTGCAACATGGACAGATCCTCTGCTCTCTAGAGAGTTCCACTTGGTGATGGAACCCTGGAAGCCTTCCCAGGGTTTCCCCAGGGACCTAGTGCACAAAAAGACCGATTTTCTATTAAAAGATTCCTATTTTAAAACGTTTATGGGGTGCCTGGGTTGCTCAGTGGGTTAAGCATCTGACTTCAGCTCAGGTCATGATCTCACGGTTGTGGGTTCGAGCCCCACGTCAGGCTCTGTGCTGCCAGCTCAGAGCCTGAGGCCTGTTTCAGATTCTGTGTCTCCCTCTCTCTCTGACCCTCCCCTGTTCATGCTGTCTTTCTCTCTCTCTTGGAAATAAATAAAACATTTAAAAAAATGTTTAAAACGTTTATGGATCTCTGTTGTGTAGGTGATAGAGCAATAATGACTGACATACAGATTAATGTTCTAGTGGCTTATATAATTATAATTGAAAACATTATTCTTAGTTTAAGAGATCTGGGGTACTCAAACAAGATCTAAACTTACAGATCTGGAGTGAATTGAATATTCTTCATGTCCCGCATAACTTACAACGTCGCTTAATGAGGATAGTATAGTCTTTTTTTTTTTAATGTTTTATTTATTTTTGAGAGAGATAGAGACAGCATGAGCAGAGGAGGGTCAGAGAGAGATACAAAATCTGAAAACAGGCTCCAGGCTCTGAGCTAGCTGTCAGCACAGAGCCTAATGAGGGGCTCGAACCCACGAACCATGAGATCATGACCTGAGCTGAAGTCAGACGCTTAACCAACTGAGCCTCCCAGGCACCCCGAGGATAGTGTAGTCTTAAGATTCGACCTGGGCTTTATTTATGCCCAATCCCCTTCCACATCCTTTGTGGGTACAGTATCCATCATACAATTAGTCCCTGTTCCAAAATACATTGTGCATTAACTAGTAAACTATGTATACTAAATAAGCACCTCGATGGCTTGCAATTACTAGTTTCTTCCCAGGACACTGTGTAAGTAAGGAGCACCTTTAGAGAGAAAAGATCCTCTAGCAAGGAATGAGCCCAGAGCCCTCCATTTAGATAGTGGCACCATAGACCAAAGAGTTGGTAGAAGGTTCAAAAACTAGATTGTGAAAGAAATCAGGACCTAAGTCCAGTGCTTCTGACTTTATCCTCAATCTACAAGACAATGACATTCCCAGCAGTCAAAGTCTCCCCAGAGCAGTGGCTGATGGGTGCACCCATTGACAGGTGACCCAGTGGTCACCTTGCGTATTATGCTTGGATAGCAGGTTTTGTGAATTTTGTAGTGAAATCTACTGTAAAATAAGGAAAAGGGAGCTAAGGGTAATTGCGTGTCTACACCATGTGCTAAGTGGTGTGTTAGGCCATTTCAATGGATTATCTCCTTGGATATTCATGACCCTCCTAGGGATGAGCAGCACTTCTTCCATTTTATGAGTGGAAGACCGGTGGCTCCAAGGTAATAAAGACTGTGCCCCTACTTGTCCATCCTGTCTGAGGCCACCGGGTGCTTGCGCTTAGTCCTCTTCAAAGGTGCTGTCTTTCCCTTGAGTAATTAATTCACTCATGGAGAGAGACTTCGGGATATTACGTTGATGTTGTAACATGAAGACGGTCCTTCCCAAGGAGGAGAACCAATATCCTGTTGTGTTGCAATCTCTGACCAAAGGTACATGAAACTTTGAAAATGCATGAAGGAAGATCTCTTGACTTCTGAGAAAACATCCCAGTAGAAAATATAGGAGTTCAATTTAGTTATAAGAGCACGATGGTTGGAGTACAGTAAGAACTTAAAGGTGTACTCCATGGATTTCTGTACCCATCAAATGCATCTACATGCTTGGTTACCTGGGAATTAATGAATTGGACACGAGTGATTCAAACGTGGGATTAGAGGTTATGCTTGTTAGCAAAAATTCCGTTTTACTCAGCTAGCACTTAGAGATCCACTATTTCCGAGGTAAAGGGACATTTGCTATTAGACAATTAGGGAGACAAGTATAAGTGCTGGTTTTCACAAGACTCTCATCAGGGAAGGATCTACGAATCACATTACAGAATGAAGCGGCTAAGATCGCAGGCTCTCGATTAGTTTGTTTACACTGATTCTTGGGTCCCTCTCAACCAGTGTGACTCTGAATAAATTGAGCCTAATCTGAACCTCAATACCCCTCTCTGTAAAATGGGAAGTAGGGAGCGGGGACATTGTGAAGATTCCAGAGTTAACACACAGAAATCACTCATCACAGTGCCTGGCATCCACTAAAATACCTACATGCAGTATATGTTTTACTGTGGCTTAATAATTAATATTTCATAAAGCAAAGCACATACCTCAAATAGGAAGTGCTTGGCAGAAACCTGGAGATAGCAGAACCACAGATAATATATTCGAGACAGCTTTATTTCCGATTTCTAATTTTTTAAATGTCTTATTTATTTCTGAGAGAGAGAAAGAGAGAGAGAGAGAGAGAGCGAGCAGGGGAGGATCAGAGGGAGAGGGAGATACAGAATCTGAAACAGGCTCCAGGGTCCGAGCTGTCAGCACAGAGCCCGATGTGGGGCTCGAACCCACGAACCATGAGATCATGACCTGAGCCGAAATCGGACGCTTAACCGACTGAGCCACCCAGGCGTCCCTATTTCCGATTTCTAAAGAAAAGCAACAAAATATAAAAATACCTGTATGGAAAAGGGAAGCAGCAGAACAAAGCCCATTATTCGTGGATCTGTGGATCTGTTCCCTAGGCAGGTTCTCGAAGTGACACACTCCGCATCAAAAGGAGCACATGGTTAATGTGGGTGAGAGAGCCCTCGGCAACTGCCCCTGTGCTTTTCTGCGTGTCGCAAGTTCTTCTTGCTCCAGAAGTTAATAGAATCAACTGCACTGGACCTGGATTGAAAATACTCAACGTCTGCAGCTACCCTCACTCTTACCCTGCGATGCCATCACCATATTCTCTTACAAATGACTGGCCGGTGGTGTTTCTTTTCCTTTCCAGTGTATTTACCACAATAACTATTCTATTATTTTCTACCTCATTCCATTCCATTCTTTCACTTACCAACACTCGTTTCAAACTCTTCCTCTATTTCTCTGTCATATTAGCTCATCTTTTGCTCATTCATGCATTTGGAAAAAGAACATGTGTAGCATTTCTTTGCCTGAAGAATATTATCTTATGCCAGTGCCCAAACTGGGAAATAAAAGGCTGTCTAGTGCGGTGAGTTCTTTCTTCCCCTCTGAGTTCTACTGAGGTAGAATTGATACAGCCTTACACAGCGCTATGGAAGTTGAGGTGTGCAGCCCAGTGACTTGCATGTACTGTGCAGTGATCTCCACAGAAAGTTCAGTTAACACCCATCATCTCCTGCAGATACCTCCCCAAAAAAGGTGTTTCTTTCCCCTCTTGTGAAAAAAAGAATCTTTTCTTAGCAACTTTCAAATGTCCCATCCAGCGGTGTGAACTACAGTCATCATATCACACATGGCATCCCCAAGGCATATTTATCTTAAAACTGGAAGTTAGTACCTTTTTTTTTTAAGTGTATTTATTTATTTTGAGAGAGAGCATGCATGGGAGGTGGGGAGGGACAGAGAGAGAGAGAGAGAGAGAGAGAGAGACAATCCAAAGCAGGCTCTGCACCAGTAGTTGGAGGCCAATACCAGGCTTGAACTCACAAACCGTGGGATCATGACCTGAGCCAAAACCAAGAGTTGGATGCTTAACTGACTGAGCCCTCTAGGCGCCCTGAAGTTTCTACCTTTTGACCTTCCTCTCTTTCCTCCCCCAACCTTACCCTACACACGAGGTAGCCACAAATCTGATCCTTTTTTCTGTGACTATGGGTTCTTTTTAGATTTCACTTACATCTGATATCATACAGTATTTGTCTTTCTCTGACTTATTGCACTTAGCATAATGCCCTCAGGGTCCATTCATGTTTTCCCAAATGGAAAGTTTTCCTTTTCTTTTATGGCTGAATAGTATTCATATATGAGTACTTATAGTATTCATGTGAGATTCATATATATCTGAAGAATATATTATACATATGAGGTGTATATATATGAGATAGCTCATATATATATTTTATATATACTATATAGAAGTGTGGTATATATAACATATTTTCTTTATCCACTCCTCCTTCGATGGACACGTAGGTTGTTTCCATGTCTTGTCTATCATAAGTGATGTTACAGTGACTGTGGGGATTCTGTTAGCTGTTCAACACAGTGATCTGGTTTCCTTCAGCTGTAAACCCCAAAGCAGATTGTTGGATCATATGGTAGTTCACTGTTCCTTGAGAAACAGTGGTTCTTAACTGGAGGAGATTTTGCCCCCAGGGACATCTAGCAAAGTCCAGAGAAATGTTGGTTGTCACAACCAGGGCTGGTAGGGTACTGGCATCTAGCGGGGTGACAAGGGAGATCACTGATGCACGGGGCAGCCCCCACGACAAAGAATCCTCCAGCCCAAATGTCAACAGTGCTGAGGTTTGAAAACCCTGGTCTCATGGAAAGGAAAATGCCCACCAGTACCTCCAATTATACCTTCCAAATTGTGACTTGGACCATCTTTGGTGAGTTACAAAATTTTCTTACATCTACGTTTGCTTTTTCTGTAAAAAGAGTATGTAATGATCGTGTCCAGTTATTACCTAAACAGAACTGAATTCCCTGTGAACAGGGTCTTACAAAGGACCAGTTTCATCCTGCAGCCATGGGGAAGCAACAGTGTGAGGACTGATTCTCCCCTCCAGTTTGGGGAAGCTGTGGGTGAGCAGCTCTTATTTCCTGGGCCTGCTTCTCCACGGGGGTCCCAAGCAGCAAATTCTCACAGAACAGTGTCCACAGCTGAGAGCATTCTGCTTTTATCCAGAGGAATGTCATTTCTGGAATCCTCTTTCACTCTCCTCTTGAGTTTCATTGACCAGAATCTGGTCACATGTTCTTTCATGGGCCCAACACTGGCCCAGGTGAGTGGGGCTCCTTAGACCCACCTGCTAAGGGCATGACTGGTGATACCAACTGAACCCTCCCCAGTTACCTGCTGTCTCCTGAGGATGGGAATGGTGTGGAACTATCCCCACGATGAATGTGAAAACCCTTTTATTCAAAGTGATTCTTTCATAAAGAAACACCATTCACGCTGGCTGGTGTTCTTGCCCTTTGGGCTGAAGAAAGTTCTCAGCTTCCCTCCAGGACTGGAGATTTAGTTCAAGAGTGCGCATGAATTGGTCAGGAACCTCAAAGTTGTCAGGAAACAGGCAGTGCCTCTGACTCCTCCTCTCTGTGTCTGTCTGTCTGTCTGCCTGCCTGTTCTGTCTCTCACTTGTATCTGCCCCATACTGATTTCTCTTCGAGTCATCCTACTGATGAATTTAGCTCTTATGAAGTTTACCTTGGTTGTGGGTTTGACTCATGACCTAAATAAGTTTCCATCACAAACTGCCCTCTTTCAGCGTCCTGGATGATTTCTGTCTCCGTGTTCATTCCTTTGTCGTCATCACAGTGGACTTCTCCTGGCTTAGCGCGTCTTCAGTTTCTCCATCTTCTGTGGGTTTCACACTTCCTCAAAACCTCCGGTAGCTGAAGAGACCCCAACAGTCCCCATGCCTATTTCCGTCATATGTTAGACAAAGAACCAGAGGTTGAGAAGAGAGGCAAAGGGAAGGGACCAGGTGTCTCACCGGGTGTCGGTTTCCTGGTCTTCTGGCCAGTTTTCACTCGCCTCCCCATCCACTCTCTGCCCCATGGGCCTGTCCCTCCCCACTTGCAGCTTGGCCCCCACCCAGGCTTCCCCGTTGTCTTGGGTTTAGATAGTGGGTAACCTGGGCAGCAGCAGAGAGACTGGGTATGTCTTCCTTGCTGTCTTTCAGCTTAGGCTGCAGCGCTGTGAGGCTACCCTTCCCCAGGCTCTGCCCCTCACACAGCCCCTGTAACCCGTTCTCTCTCTCTGAAAGGCCAAGGACAGTTACAGGTTTGGATTTAAAGACACGTGGGGGGGATTTGTTAGCTCGGGCCCCGTGTTAATCACAGTGAAGGCAACAGCCGATCCCGCCCTCCCTACATTAGAGCCTTTGGGAGGAGGCAAGGAGGAGAGCTGGTCAGTGGGGAGAGGGCGGATGTGGGAACTCCCACGTGGCAGGGCCTTTGCTGCCTCAAGAACATTTTGGTGTGAATAATCAGTGGCTTTGGTCAGCTTGTCACGTGGGGCTTGGTTCTCCGAGAAAACACTGAAGGCTCCGGGGAAATTTATGGTCAGAGTACGAGCTGCATTTTTATCGACCTTGGAAAGGGGGACGTCTTCCTCTTGGGAATAATCTGCTTTTGGGTGTTCACTGTCACTCTGGGTCAGGTCCATTGAGTCGCCTCGAATCCAGCTCCATTCCCTCCTCGTTGCTTCTTCTCGAAAAGAACCAGGCATGGTAGGGAATTCTGGAGTTTCCTCCACCCAGTGGGTATAGAAGGGTGGGGTACTGACAAGGGGGAGGCAGAGAATCAGACTGTGGCCGTTGGAGGTGACACGCCAGCCACCAGCCGTGTCCGAGCAGGTGGACACGCTTTGTGCGGGCTCCGTCCTGCTGCCTTTGGAGAGATGACAGAACAGAAGTAAAGCTCACCTGTGTTTTTCACACGCAAAATACGGCGTTGGCGCTTTTCTGAAGTGTGGAAGTATAGGTAGAGTCCGTAGCCTGGAAAGAATGAATTCTCTCATCCGTGGAGTCCTGTTTTGTGTGGACGATGAGTCTTCAAAGTGTCACGACTGGTGCAGGGCAGGAGCGAGCAGCTGAGTGCAGTGGAGGGGAAGCGAAAGCACACAGTTACTTACTTTTCCCTTCGTGCCTCACGCTTTCTAAGAAACACCGAAGTCGCCATATTAAGTTTAGGAGTCTGGACTCGAGGCCTCCTTCCAGCCCCTCAGAGGGAGGCTGCTTTCTCCTGCAGGGAGACTGAGGACTCGGCCCCAGGAGCCACGGACCGCGGGAACACCCCGCGTCTCTCTTGTCAGAGGTGACGGAGGTGGTCCAGTCTTCCGTGTCTGTGGGGAGCACCGTCCACCCAGGTGGCAGCCGACGCAGGCCCCAGCAGCCTTCCTAGATCAGGGTTGCAGGTTGGACAGCCCCGTCTTTGCCCGCACACCCAGCTCAGAGCTCAGAGCCCCTTCCTTGCCCCAACCTGCAGGAGCTGTTTCCTTCCAGACCCTTCCTTGCCGGGAGGTTACAGTGTGGCTCTGGCCGGGATAGGCCTAGCGGGCAGTACAGTCCCACTGCTGTAATGGGCTCTAAATTAAATGTTGGCAGTTTGTGCTGACATTTGAGCTACACCAGGTCTTAAATGAAACTAATTGGCCGATCTTTCTTTTAAGGGACATAAAAATGCTGCAGAGTTGCACATCTGTGATTTCTCACTCCACTTCTGCTCGTTCTTTGGGTTTCTCACATTAGCGGACAGTTCTGCGGTCAGCTGATTTCCAAGCCCTTGGCACCCTTCACTCCCCTCCCTCGTCTCCTCCTCCCCCACCACCCCCCTTCTTCTCCATCACCGCCTCCACCAATGACCTCTGCCGCCTTATTTTGATATACCTCCCTGTTCATCCCTCTTTAACTGTAACATCAAAATATTCTCGATGTGCTCTGACTATAGTGTGAGAGACCTTTCAGTGTTTCACTGTTTACAACCCTAACCCTTCTGACATCCTCACTTGTGTCTGCTTCCTAGACGAGGAATCTCACCGTGGACGGGCACTTTGGCGCGTGGTCTCCGTGGACGCCCTGCACGCACACCGATGGCAGCGCCGTGGGATCCTGCCTGTGTCGCACCCGCTCCTGCGACAGCCCGGCCCCCCAGTGCGGAGGCTGGCAGTGCGAGGGTCCCCGCATTGAGATCGCCAACTGCTCCAGGTGAGCCTCTTCTGACACTGGTGCCTTCCATGTGTGTGAGTGGACTCCAGAGTGTGCGGACATCATCTTTAGTGTACCCCTCCCCTTTTCTAGAGAAAGACAGGGGCACTTACCACTTAAAAGTTAGACGATCAGGGACGCCTAGGTGGTTCAGTCGGTTCATCGGCTAACTTTGGCTCAGGCCATGATCTATCTCATGGTTCGTGCGTGCAAGCCCCGCCTTGGGATCCGTGCTCAGAGCCTGGAGCTGCTTCAGATTCTGTGTCTCCTTCTCTCTCTCTGCCCCTCCCCCACTCAAGCTCTGTCTCTGTCTCTCTCAAAAATAAATAAATATTTTAAAAAGTTAAAAAAAAGTTACACAATCTACTGAAGGAGATTTTTTTTTTTTTACTTACTTTACTTTTACCTTTTTTAATGTTTATTTTTGAGAGAGATGGAGAGTGAGCCAGGGAAGGGCAGAGAGAGAGGGAGACATAGAATCTGAAGCAGGCTCCCGGCTCTGAGCTGTCAGCACAGAGCCCGACATGGGACTTGAACCCATGAACTGTGAGGTCACGACCTGGGCTGAAGTCAGACACTTAACCAGCTGAGCCACCCAGACACTGCTAGAAGGGGATTTTAAATAGTAAATCTAAACGTGTTTTTTTTTTTCTAGGAGAGAGAGAGAGCGTGAGCAGGGGAGGGTCAGAGAGAGAGGGAGTCACAGACTGAAACAGGCTCCAGGCTCCGAGCTGGCAGTCAGCATAGTGCCCGATGTTTGGCTCGTACTCACTAACTGCGAGATCATGACCTAAGCGAAAGTCGGACGCTTAACCGACTTAGCCACCCAGGCGCCCCAAATCTAAACGTGTTTAATGTGTTCATTAGGAAACCTATTTGCAGTGTGTGTGATGTTATTGTTTTCTTTGCAGGAAACGTCTGTGTCAATTAAAACTCTTTTCTGGAACATGTAGCCTAATAGTCCCTACGGGTAGAACACAACACATTCATTGTGAACTGGCCTCATCCAGGTGGCCCTTCCCAGTCCTCCTTTTCCTTCGCCAGCATCAGGGACCCCAATGGCTAGACGCACGCCAGTGCCACGGGCTCTGCACCCTGACCTGGCCCTTGGGCGCCTCCTGAGGATGAAAGCAAGTCTGAAATCAGATTTGGCCACACTCAGAAAACTGTGACACAGCCAGTTCTTGAAAATGACCGAGTCCCAGCTCCCTGTCCCTCAGGCTTGCTGACAAGCATGCACATGGAGGTTCACGTGAAGCAGATGTGACGCTACTGGCCGCAGATTTGCCAACATTTAGTCAGGCCCGGGAAAGGCAGCCTGTGCAATCAAGGCTGCCACTACAGGCCAGAGAGCCCCGGCCTCACCCCCAATCCATGCGAGGACAGAGGTGCGTGCAGAGTGTCAGCTCACCCAATCCTGACCTCACATCCCACACCAAACAAATTATCCCCAGTAGCCCTCGTACTAATAAGTGTCCCCTCATGCAGACGCTGGAAGCGACATGCACTGTTTGCAGCAGCCTCCTTGAGGGTGTGAAGAGCAAGGGGGAATAGTTCCGGTAGCTTCAGAGGCTACCCATGGAGTTGATATTCTGGAAACTGTAAAGGACAGATCTGGGGTAGCAGCCAGAGTTCTGGGGTAGCATGCCCACGTGTGTACATGGCTTGTTCACCATGTCTGTCCTTGGACAGAATGAGTTTCTAGAAGCAGCGGTCTTCACGGAAAGTTGCTCATCTGCCCCCTATCAAATAACGTGGATAAACTAGATACCCCTCAAATACTTGTAGATCAACATCTAATTGTTTCTCATCAAAACTTTAAGTAGTTGTGGGCACCTGGGTGGCTCAGTCTACTGAGTGTCCAACTCTTGATTTCAGCTCAGGTCCATGATCACGTCCCACCCACATCGGGCTCTGTGCCGACTGTGTGGAGCCTGCTTGGGATTCTCCCCTCTCTCTCTGCTTCTGTCTCCCTCTCTCTCAAAACAGATAAATAAACATAAAGTTTTAGTAGTTGCAAAGATATAATTTCTGTTCCATCCTGTTCCATTACACTAAATGTGTAATGGAATCTAAATGCTTTAGTGATTAGATAGCTGCCTGCTCATTTAAGAAACTGATAAATAGCCTCTAATTTAATATTTAGAACATTTACATTTTTCCTTCTTTAATTTCTTATTTTTATTCTCTATCCCTTATAGAATCTTATCCTAATATATTACGCTTTTATGCTTAAAAGTCTTACACTGGTCACCATATCATGCTTCTCTGCAACCACCAGAATAACAAATTATATAAATGGAATTTAAAAACAAAATTTATATTTCTGATAACCATAGGCTTTATGGTTAAATATTTTAAATATATTTTTAAAATTAGCATCCAGTTAATCTAAAAGCCATCAATATTACACATTTTGAGCCATCCTTTTTTAACATTTTAATTTTCAATTTTATTGGAAATTCATTCCTTCAGGCAATTTTTTTCTTAAATTCCCAATTACTTTTCCTCTTTTAGGCATGAGTGCAACTTCTTGCCTGATTTGGGGAAGGCTTAGCATCTATTCCATTCTTACATTTTTATTTTCCTAGTTACAAGTACTGACAGGTATGACTCCTGAAAGTAGATAGAAGTATAAGATCATAGCATTTCCAAGCAGTTTTCTGAATTCTTTCGAAGTTATCTGCCAAAGGCATGGTGATCTAATACCAAAGAATGTTTTTATTGCCCCGTATCTGTTGATAGCCTGTTTATGTTGGCCTTTAAGTTTGCTAGAAATAAAGAATTGCCACACACCTAACCTGCAAACTCCCATTTTTGCTCACTCACTACTGTTAAAGACTTCCTCAGTGTGTGCAGAGCACGTCAGAAGACCTTTATGAAGTCTGATCAGAGGTTTCCAATTAAACCCGCTCTTCTTTATTTATAGGCACCTTGTTTAACCCAATGTAAGTGTTGGGAAATTCAAAATATTGCTCATTCAATACATTTTACAAGGGTATCTTTGATTAAATGCTGTTATGACGTCACATCATTAAATATGTTTTTCTTCTCAATATCTTGGAGCTGCAGATTGAGGTCATTCAACACATGAAATGAAATCCACAATATAAAGGAATTAGCTAAACCAGACTTTCAAAGCAGGGCCGAGTCAGACTTAAAAATGGATCGGGAAAATAGGGTTTCGTTTTACAATTAAAGTAAACATTTGAATATGCATTCTTATGACACCATGCCACTTCTGAGTCCTAATTCCTAGGGAGGAGAGAGGTAGCCATGGAGAGAAGGAGGAGAGGGAGAAATAAAACTAGCCAGTAGGAAAGCAGGTCAAAGGAAAGTCTGGATCCTTGATAGGAGTTTGTCATCTAAATGAAATAAGTTTCTACAGGCTTCCATTTTCCTTACCTATACCTCCCTTTATAGGACTTCTCACTGGGAGGAAAGCCTATGCCTGACCTGGGTTGGTCAGGACACAGAGACTTGTGTGCAGGAAGGAGGTTGGGGAATGTCCCAAGCGTCAACACATAGGAGGGAGGGAAGGAAGGAAGGAAGGAAGGAAGGAAGGAAGGAAGGAAGGAAGGCAGGCAGGCAGGCAGGCAGGAAGGCAGGAAGGCAGGAAGGCAGGAAGGAAGGAAGGAAGGAAGGAAGGAAGGAAGGAAGGAAGGAAGGAAGGAAGGAAGGAAGGAAGTGTGGGCCAATAGCCCTAGAAAAGGACTCAGCCAATGGTACAGGGAACGCCCTTGCTGGGACGGCCCTTGAGGGTGGTTAGATCTTCTCAACTGCAGGTCCAAGCCCCCCAGCCCCCTGGGCAGCTGGAGACGCCAGGGCTGCAGTCCATGGGGGGCTTTGACAGTAGCTGGGGGATGGAAGAAGCCCCGTTGTTGACCAACAGCTCTGTGCTGCTCTGAGCCCAGAGCACCCCAACTCAGTTAATGTCCCAGTACTGAGTAACCAGAAAACTGACTCCAACAGTGATTCCCTGGGTTGGTTTCCTGTCTCCTCTGCTTATTTTTGTTGTTGCCAGATTGACTATTTTACTGGAGTCAGTTTGTTCCCTTCCCCTGTACCTACAGCGCCATGACCAAAGCAGCCTCTTAGATTTTAAAACAAGCATCAGGAGAGGCGCCTGGGTGGCTCAGTTGGTTAAGTGTCCGACTTCAGCTCAGGTCATGGTCTCATGATTGTGGTTTCGAGCCCTGCGTCAGGCTCTGTGCTGACAGCTAAGCCTGCGTCAGATTCTGTGTCTCCCTCTCTCTCTGACCCTCCCCTGCTCACACTGTCTCTCTCTCTCTCTCTCTCTCAGAAATAAATAAAACGTTAAAAAATTAAAAAAAAATAAAAGGAGCATCAGGAAAGCTTCTCAAATCAGCCTCCAAGCTCCCTCCTCACTTGCTTGTTAATTTACAGTATTTCTAAAAAGTATTATCTTGTTTCCACGAGCCTATTCAGAATGCAGGGACCTCTGGTCAAATCTCCTCTGATGTCCCAAATACTGCAGATCACGCCAGGCAATAGCTCACTAGGGGAGCCCAGAGCACAGGGGCGCTCCCTGCCCAAGAGGAGAAGCGGTTGAAGGAGGTGGGGCGAGGTTCAAGGGTGCACTCTGCCCTCTGCTCCCCTTCTCAGGCCAGCCCAGGTCACTCCACAAGGTTGATAGGAGACCACAGAGCTACATAGATTAGATTATTTATGTTACTACAGATAACAGAGGCATGTCATCATGGCATTCTTTCCACAAAACTAAGAGGGCTTCCATCGAGGCATGGGAGAAACTTTATACAAGTTACAGAGCTGTTACTCTTTGAAGATTATGATCAGTGACCGATATTCTTTTTTATACTGTTTAATGGGATAAAAGGACTATCAAGTGTGTGAGTGCAGCTTGTTTATTGATACCTCTTTGGCTTTGGTTCTAGTAGAAATGGCATCCTCTAAGCAGACCAGCAATGTAATTAGTGGTGATTTTCAGATTAGTAATTAAATAATGGAACCCATTTTAGTGGTGCTTCAAATGCACACATGGGTTGTTTTGGACTGATTTAATCCTCAAAATGATTCATCGGCTGATACATGCTCACTTCGTGCTGCTTAGTGACTGCCTGCCACAATGTTGTAAGACTGCAAACCAGGTGCAAAGGACAGACCCACACATAGACAATTGCTCTCATTTCCTGACTTATTATATTTCTGTTATTTATATACACTTCCATTTACTCACTTCCCTGTATACAACATGTCCCCTATATTGTAAATAGAGTATATCACAAACTGTCATGTTTGTTAACAGGTTTAGGAAACTAAGAATTTCCAAACAATTTTCAAAGCAAAGTTTCCTTCACTAACAGTTTTGCTAACAAGTAAAGAAATTTTGGAAGTAAAAAGATCCTTTTATTTATGTTACAATAGCTATTTTTGTATAGAACTCAATGCATCATTTGGATTTCTTTAAAAAAATTTGTGTAAGTAACAGGGTATATAAGATACTGATTATCTTTATGAGCAACTTGCAAGGATCTGTTGTTTTTTTGTGATTACTTGGCTAAATTATCATAAAGCAGCTTTCTTATAATATCATACAGTAAGGTATCAGTATCTACTTCATTTATATCATGAAGAAGTTTCAGAAAATAGGGAAATATGAAATATACAGAGTTTTTTCAGAGGAATTATCACTTGAAATTATTTGAGAAATTATATGTTCAGAATATTGTTTATACCTTGAGCTTCAATACAGGGGTGGATCTGCATGTTTTTAAAGGAATGTATGAAATAAAAATAATGTCAGTCAGTTTTTTTCAGGGGAAAAGTCCAATGAGGATAACATATCTATAGAAAAGCAGATGTGATTAGAGAAATATATTCCACATGCAGTAGACTTTTCACATGGGAGTTTGGATTCTGGGTTTAACAGACATTTTAACAAATATCTAAGGATTTTAAGGATTTAATAAATCCTTAAAAATGTTTTAATAAATCCTTTTTTTTTTAATGTTTTATTTATTTCTAGGAGAGAGAGAGACAGCATGAGCAAGGGAGGGTCAGAGAGAGAGGGAATCACAGACTGAAACAGGCTCCAGGCTCTGAGCTGGCAGTCAGCACAGAGCCCGATGCGGGGCCCGAACCCACGAACCGCAAGATCATGACCTAAGCGAAAGTCGGACGCTTAACCGACTAAGCCACCCAGGCGCCCCTTAATAAATCCTTAAAACTGCCTACAATTTGTTCTTTAATAGTTTAAATTACAAACATGCTGAATGCAGGCATCTCAAGGGAAAAGTACAATATTAAACAAAAAATCCTTTAGCTGTCAGTGGCAATTAACTTTATAAACCACTTTTATACAAGCTATTTCTTTTATTTTAATTTTATATTTTATATGACTATGATATCATATATGTAATAACATAAATATAATTATGTGCAATTTTCACGCCTTATTTATACTCTATATCTTTTGCAAATTGTAAGAAAATAGCCAAGAATCTGAATTTAAAGTACCCGAAGGCTTCATGATTTAAAAAAAAAACCTTTATTTTGAAAGAGAGAGAGAGAGAGAGAATCCCAAACAGGCTCCATGCACCATCAGTGCAGATCTCGACATGGGGCTCGATGTCATGAAGGGTGAGATGATGACCTGAACTGAAATCAAGAGTCAGATGCTCAACCAGCTGAGCCACTCAGATGCTCCTGGCTTCCTTCATTTTTAATAAAGTTAGTTTTAAAGCGTTGGATATTACAGGGTTCTTTATCAATATGAATGCTATCAAGAAAATTGCTGATTTTCATTGATATTAATAGATTTTAAAAGTAAGCGTTATAGGTAGTTTTAGATGATATTTTGTTCAAATGTGCCCTTTTTATAGATTACAAATTACATAGTATAAGTCAAATAAGTATAAACCCTAGAAGTTCAGGAGTTCATCCCTAATTGCTTTTTAATAAAATAAACTGATTTTTCATTAGTTTAACATCTTCCTAACTAAAGCTTATTAGTAGTTTCTAATATAGCCCATTTTAAATTATTCATCGCACACTTGAAGCTTCACTTTCAAGAAGAAACCTTGACTCTGAGATCAGATACCAAGGAGAAGGTCCCCCAGGGGCCGGGATTTCCAGGGACACGGCCCATCCGGTTGGGTCCTGCGTCTCCTGCTTTCCCCAACCAGCTGCACCCCAACAGTCCACGGTGGGGTGGCGGGGGGACACCGGAAGTTAGCTGGAGGCGGGCGCACCCAGGGATGGACTCTGCCAGTCCGGCCCGGTGACCCGACTGCTTCTCTCCCCAGGAACGGAGGCTGGACCCCCTGGACCCCGTGGTCTCCGTGCAGCACGAGCTGTGGGATCGGCTTCCAGGTGCGCCAGCGGTCGTGCAGCAACCCCACCCCCCGGCACGGGGGCCGCGTGTGCGTGGGGCAGAACCGCGAGGAGAGGTAGGCCCCCCGCCGCGCCGCCCTCAGCTTCCTCTCATTCCGGTGCGGCCGCCCCCCGCGGTCGCGGACGGGGCGCAGCTTGTGCGCGCATCCCTTTCTGTTGAGCCCCATCGCCCTGTTCTCCTGACATCGTTTAATTTTGCTCAAAGCCTCGTGTTGACAGCCTCACTACCACCCGCGGGCCTGCCCAGGTGACTGGCTGAGCAGTCCCCAAGGGAGCGGGGGTGCAGGGACAGCGGGCACCTCCGGGCTGGGCTTCCTGGGGACCCAGAAAGAGTCTGCTGGGGAAAATCTGCTCTTAGCATTCAGCTTGACCCAGTCTCAAAACTGGGAGGACCTAAGGCGGCCAGGGTCCAGACGTCAGGGATCAGATGAAGCAGAGTTTTGCCCAGAACTAAATCAAGCATCTGGAGCTGGCTGAGGGTGTATTCAGGACCTGGGTACACCTCCTTTCTTCACCCATCCCCTCCGGGGGTCTGGGGGGCCTACAGGGTAGCCCGGAGCCGCATCCTTTTCCAGGCTGGACTCTAAGCCTTCAGCTCCTCCGGGAGCTTTCATACAACCAAACATTTGGCTTTGGCTTCATAAGATCTACAGTCGGGATGGTTGGCTCTTTCTTGCATATTTAAGGTACATTCTAGTTCATGACTGTTGGGAGGAAATCCAAGCAGGTGAATTTCACGTCACTTGGGATTCTTACTCTGCCACAGTCTCCTAAGTGTATTGCACTGACCCCTGAGGAACAAAATGGCTTTCCATACCTTTTAATTAAAATGTAGCAAGGATAGTATCTGGTGAGATGGGCTCACTGTGAGCCTCTTATAAAAATGCTGCATGCAGTTATTTGCTATGTGATCAATATTTATACAGACAAAACCAACAGGTTTACTGCACAGATAGGTCCCTGCGAGGTATTTATTACAACCTCAAAACAACCCAGGAGAATCGTTCCTTTCTGTCTTCATTGTGTGCCGACATTACCAATTAAGATTTCATCCCTTCTGACCCTGAGGAAGATGAACGACGATCTTTACAAAGCGAGCCTGGTTGTTTCTGAAGTAGTCCCGAAACAGTCTTATACAAGTCTACCATTGCCCATCCAACACCAGTCGGGACATGGAAAGACCGATTATGGGCAAATTGTCTCCCTGCCTTTTCTAACCTTGTAAGATTTGACATTGGTTGGAAAGTTTTAAAATGCCGTACACTGTCCCATAATATAGCCCTTCCAGGCAAAGTCACCTTTATCAGTGAGAAGCTGCCCCCAAATTATAGCACCCCTGCAAATCTTGCTCTTGTTGGGACCTTTCCAAGGCTGAGCACACAGGAAGGAAGGTGTTATCTAACTCTGTGGCTACCATGTATGTGCATTCTGTATGCACTTAGTGATTGTTTGTAAAGCCACGTTTCCAGGGAAGACTGTGTTTAGGGGACTTATACTAAAAATGTTCCCTTTTGCAGGAAATAAAAAAAAACCCTGCTCATTTGGTCAAGAAAAATATTTGGTTAATGGAGGATTATTTGAATTTGCAGAGTGAGTGTGTAGATGGTAAAAACAGGGACTCGCTAAAATTGAAGCTTCCCTATTGAACAGCCCTTCTTAGGGGATAATCAAGCCATCAAGAGGCTAATAGATTCTAGAAAAACCAGTACATAATGTCTGGTTTTTTTGGTTTTCACAAGCAAAGAGCTCTGAGAGTTTTTGTTGTTGTGTTATGTGCGAGGTCTCTCCACTTGTGTGGTATGAGAGAACGCCATCCTTTATACATATTTGAGAACTAAACTCAAAACGCAGAGAGACTCCGGTCTCCCTGGGAAGGCACATGACTAGGCGTGCACAGGGGAATACCATTGCACCCTGCTGCTCTAGCGCCATTGACCCTAAGGAACTGCCGAGTGGCCGCAAGTGAATAAATTGATTCCCCCAGAAAAGTCCCTAAGTTAAGACCAGGATCAGAGTTAATGACTTCATTGGATCAGAATGTCTAGGATGCGGAGTGATTCAATGGGTGCTTTATGACAACATAAATCTCAGAAATATTCACATCATTTTTTCCAAAGTACTGGATAAAGAAAATAACCTACCTTATCTTTTACACACACTGTAGAAGGTATGGAGACTGTTTTTCTTTTCTAAAATTTCCTGGAAAATGATGTTCTTGAGTCCCAAGAACCAAGTGGAAGCACGAACAAGGATGAATCAGTCGGCCTCGGTGTAAACACTATCACAATGCAGGTGTCATTTTCTATATTAGGTTCCTCTTCCTGTGTAACCATAGTTCCAAAAACTGAGAGTGGCTTAAAGCAACACAGATTTATTATTTCACAGTCTTACTGGATCAGGAGTTTCAGTGTGACTTACCTGGGTTTCCCTGCTCAGCCTGAGCTGCGGTCTCATCCGGGCACTGACCGGGGAAAGAGCCACTTATAAGATCGCAGGCTTGGTTGTCAGCATGTGGCCCTGTGCGGATGGTCAAATTGAGAACGTGTTCCTGCCAAACGAGCTTTCCCAGCACCATCGCTGCCTTCCTCAAATCTAGCAAGGAAGAAAGTTTCCTGGCAGGATGAGCAGGATAGTTTTACCCAGTGCGGTTGCAAAGTGACTGCCATCGCCTTGCCATATCCTACTGGTGAAGAAGTAAGTCACAGGTCCTATCTACACTCAACAGGGGACATTACCTGGGCCATGAATTCTGGGAGGCAATCATCATCGGGGTCACCTTGGAGTCTCTGCCACAGCCAGTTTAATTGGTCCCTCAGTCATTCACAGCCCTTCCATATGCAAAATGTATTTCACCCATTCCCAAGGTCCCCAAAAGTTTTATACCATTAAATCATACCCGAAGATTCCAGAACCTTATCGTTTAAGTGAGGCTCAAATATGAATGAGGTGTCCTGGGTGTTGTTCCTCTAAAATCAGAGACAAGACATCCGATATGTGATGGGGGAACAGGTGAAAGGTAGCAACTACAGACATTACTGTTCAAAAGGGAGGAAAACGGAAAGTCTAGAGCTATCACTGCTCCACAGAAATTCTGAAATCTGGCCAGACAAGGGTTGGGAGTTGCTCGCTTAGGTTTCAAGGCCCTTGCATAATTCTGCACGGCTCTTGGCTCTGCCTTCTGGGCTCTCATCACTGCCTCCTGAATCATCTTTTCTTTTTCACAAAAATTAGCATGTACTTGCGGCTGGGTAGTTTGACCAACCTGTTTTCTGCCAGTAGAATTCTGGATTCCCGTGGTCGCACTTCATTTGTACTTTCTCTGTACATTTCAGGGCAAGCTGGTATTTCTGCAGAAATAGCCCTTATGGGCCTTCTGTGGAATTCCTTGAGGTTGACTCTTGTAAAACATCTGCACCCACAGATCTTTTTGAGGTAGACTTTCTCTAGCTGGGGATCCTCCTGAGGGCTGAGGGCCACACCCCGTGGCCTGCTGGTAATTGAGACCATCTGGGAGGCACCCCCTCGCTCCGACCTCCTCAGAGCACCCTGCGTGTAACCAAAACCACTCTGATCCCTTGGCCTTTCTGAGGTTTTACCAGACGGTTGTACCATCACATCTGCAGATTTTTACTCTCTGTCTACCACTCCTCAGTGCTCAGAAGTGCCTTCTTAATTTTAGCATCGCCATCAGGAGAGACTCAAATTTCCAGTTAATTCTGTCCTGGTCCCTCTTGTTTGTTATTCCTTCCCTCATTTTTTTTCCTTTCATTCCTACATGTTACCATAAGCCACAAGAAGAAACCAGGCAGCACCCCCACCCCCACCCCCGACACTTTGCCTGGAAATTGACTTGTCTGAATAACTCACTTCACGCTGACCTGTTCCACTTTCCAGAGAAACCACAGCGACAGCCTGGGAAGCTCTCCCCTCTGCCTCACAAGGTCCTCACTTCCCTCAGTTTCTAATCACGGGCTCTTATTTTCCTTCCAAATTTAGTTGTGGTTAAATATATTTAACATGCAATTTGCCATTTGGCCCTTTTTAACGTGTTCGATTCAGTGACATTAATTGCATTTACTATAATGCATAACTATAACACTATTTCCAGAACTTTTTTGTCATGCTAGTACCGTAACAATTAAGCGGTGATTCCCCATTTTCCCCTCCTCTCAGCCCCCAGTAATCTCTAATCTATGTTCTTTCTCTGTGAATGTGCCTCTTTGAGATAGTTCGTGTAAGTGGACTACTACCATGTGTGCATTCTTGTGTCTGGCTAATTTCACTCAGCATCATGTTTTCAAGGTTTCTGGCATCCCGTACCATGTGTCAGAACTCCATTCCCCTCGGCAAGCTCCATAATACTTGACCATATGACTGTATCATACTGTGTTTATCTCTTTACCCATCAATTACCAAGTGGCTTATTTCTACCTTTTGGCTACTGCAAATAATGCCGCAGTGAACACTAGTGTATGAGTATCTGTTCAAATCTGCTTCCGTTTTTTCATATAACCTGAAAGTGGAGTTTTGGGGTCGTATGGCAGTTTTGTTCAGTTTTTTGAAGAGCTGTTTTCCGCAGTGGCCACACCTCGTACATCCCTGACAGTTTCTGGCGAAAAGGTGCAAGGGCTCCAGTGTCTCCACACCATTGCCGGCACTCGTTACTTTCGTTCTTTCTTACTTTTTCTTTTGTGATGGCCATCCTGATAGGTATAAAGTAATTATCTCATTGTACTTTTGATTCACATTTCCCCAAGGACTAATGACATTGACCATCTCCTCCTGTGCTTATTGGCCATTTGTCTACCCTTTTGGAAATGTCTGGTCAAGTCCTTTGCGCGTTTGCTAATTGGGTTGGCCTTGTTGCTATGTTTTCATTCTCTGTCCTGTTTTCCTTCTAAAGCCTCTCTAGCAGCATCCTCAGAGTCTCTCTACATGTTCTTAAAATTTTCCTTGCTTCTACTCATTCCCTGGTCTCAAAGCCATGTTCATGGTTTCAGGTGTTTTCTACAATAGCACTGCCTGTCTGGGTATGAAAATCTGTGTAGGGGTCTTTACATAACAATTTTAGCACTCACTCAGCCCCTGAAGCACTCTGTGCTTATTGTCTCACCATTTCTGGGTTTGTAGCCTGGACACTGTTGATGTGGGTCCTTCGCTTTAGGATCTCACGAGGCTGCAACATGGCATGGACCATAGCTGTGGTCTCATCTGAGGTTTGACTGGAGAAGGTGTGCTTCCCAAATCCCATGGTCGTTGGCAACATTCAGTCCCTTGGATGCTGTCAGCTGAGGCTGTGAGCCAGGAGCTCCCCGAATCCCTAGCCACGTAAGCCATTCAATACTGACCACTTAATTCCTCAAAGCATGGTGGGTGAGTTTTCTTGAAAAAGGGACATTGAAGTCTTATGTCACTAAGTCACAGAAGTGATATACTGTCATTTTTTCCATATTCTGTTAGGAGCAAGTCACAGATCCCAGCCCAACCTACACACACACACACACACACACACACACACACACACACACACATGCATACACACGCACACACAAACACACACAAGCTTATGAAAAGATCACACAAGCTGTGATTCCCAGGAGGTAGGCCCATGGGGACCACATAAGAGTCTCCCCACCACATTATCAAAATGAAGAATCCCAGGAACCAATGGGAGCATGTTATAAGATTTTTATTTTTTGATTATCTTTTTCTCATAAGATTTTTAATCATATTTGTCTTTGTCTCCGTGGGTTTGCTTAGTCCTATGGTGAGCCAAAGTACTGTTCCTTTGCAAGTCATTCCTCTCCTGTAGTGTGTTCTCTTGGCTCTCTCCTGGTGTAAAAATTAATATTATGGGGGGACCCAATGTATGTGTAGTTTCTCTCATGCCAAGAGATTTGAGTATTCCAGTATGGCCCAGTGAAGAGATGGTCACTTAGAGCAAGGCAAGGAGAACATGGTTCTGATAGGGTTCTGACTGGTTCAGCCTGTCACAGGTTGCAGTGAGAAACTAGCACAGACCAAACCAGAACAGAATGCACTTGTAGCATGAAGAAATACGACGAGAAACAATACAGTGCTGAGAATCTAGTCTATGTGGGGCTATGAAAAGCAATTCTTTTCACGGAGACTAGGTCTGTGGAAAAATTGATAATTTACATAGAAATATTGCTGGCTTATTAATTCAATTTTAAATGCAAAATGAAAATGAACAGTCATGGGCAAAATTAAAATCTTAATTTTTAATGCATCATGAAATGTACCTATGACTTTCAATGCTTTCAGATACTGGAAATCCAGGGGAGCCAGCAAAACTCCAAAAGCGTCTGGCTATTATTTGGCAAAAGCTAGCTGTGTGTAGAGGACTAGAGAAATTAGGAACCACTGGCTGGTCCATTGTGTAGATATTTTATCCATAAATTAATAAACATGTTTGAACAAGCAGAGTCCCATCGTAGTAACTAACTTCTGATCCCCATTGTTGTTTGTGAACAGGAAAGACACTGGAAACCCAGTGAGTGGTTGAACAAGAGTCATTTCTGTCTGGAGCACATGTTAGTTGGGGTGGGCATCAGATCCCCCTCCCCTCAAGGGGGTCAGAGAGACCCTACTTCCTTGAAGTTGCAGAGAATCCAGCACTTGGGGCTTGTAAGGGCTTTCCCTCTGAGGAGATTCCCTTCAGGTGGATTTGTGAGTGAAAACCCAGACATAAAGGGACAAAGCTGGCTAGCTTAGCAATTTCCATTTCCCTTCTGATCCCCCTTGCAGAGGGTGACATAGTCACGTATCCTGGTATAGCTATTTCCTCAGGACTGCCATAATGAGAAAGAGAAAAATGGAAGGCACATGTTAGACAACTTTAAAATCCAGCCAAATATAGCACATGTTGACACTGGTCGGAATTTCTGTGCTACATGGAGTTTTCCAGCTCTCCTGCAGTAGATCTGCAGCTCCATTGACGAGCTGCATGTTTTCAGATGTGGCCTGCTCTAGGCCAATATGAGGAAGTATTTGTGTGCTCTGATGTATTTTGCTAGGGGGAGATGGTAGCTCCCTTGCTGTGCTTTTTATTAAAAGTCAAGTGTTTTATAAGCATATTTAGCATGATTTTCTTTTGCTCTCCCTATTCTTTTATTGCTTGTTTTATATTTGAAAGCTAAAATGGGGGTAAGGAGCCCATGGAGTCCGTACCTTTTAAATGCTGGTGAATTGGCTTGGAAATGGGAGGTGGAATTCTACTTCTCAATCTATGCACGGTGAGAGATGGTACCCGTGGCTATTTTGAATCAAATGCAGGGAGTTCTGATGTTCTGAGTTTTCCTTTCTTCCAAATGTGTTCTTGAATGGCTCCCCACTCTTGGAACATTCCATGTACCAACACGTATGTTAATAATCACTGAGTAGCCAGGATGTTCTCCTTACTGTAAGTCTGCGTGTTGGCACATGCTTCTTAAGGTCAAATTTTTTCAGCCCATTGTATCCTCGATTTTGTTTTGGCTCTTCTACCTAGAGGTCACGCTCTCTTACTTAGAAGATTCCTTTCCTTTCTCCCCTACACACAAGAGCGTCCATGACTTTGGAAGAGGGAAACCTAATGAGCATTGAAAAGATGAGAAAGAGTGGGGACTATTCAGTTCCATTGACTACTATTCTGTGTGAACCTTTAGAGAAAATAAAGCTTGTGCCTTATTAGTTCTTGCTTCCAGAGGCTTCTCCTGCCGTGACATATCAGCTTTCTCTGGCCCGAAGCATGCCTCCCATGTTCCCCCAAATGAGAGGCTGACACGTGACTGTACTGTTTGTCTGTTTGTTGTTCTCTGCACTCACACAGCTGCCACATCTTCACCCCACTACACCAAGCCCAAGTGTGCTCCTTCCCTTTCTGTTTCCACCGCCATCTTGCTTGTCCAGCTTGGAGCACCTCTCCCTTGCGTTGTTGCAATCCAGACTCTCCTGGTTGGCATTTGTTCCTCCTGCTCTTCCTGGTGGGCTGTGTGGAGCGGGGACCTCACACTTGTGCATGGAGAGCTCCTTAAATCTCAGGGAGCCCCAGGCCACCAATGGGATGAGACACCAACCCCCGGAGACCAGTCTTCGCCCCCTAACTCTGACGGTGCTGTTTTGTCTCGCAAGCTCTGTGGAACTTTTCTGATTCCTTGTAAGTAAATTTCAGATTCCTTGTAAGTAAATTTCAGATTCCTTGTAAGTAAATTTCAGATTCTTCCTCCCCACGCGTGAAGGTAGGTGCTGCCTCTTCCTGTCACCTTCTTCTGTTGTCTTCTCCCCAGTAACGTTTCTTACTTAACTCTTCCATTTCGATATTCCCTTCTTTCCCAGGATGCCAGCCATTGCTCACTTTGCCTCCTGTGGACTCCCATCAGCTTGGCCCGGCTTTTACCTTTCATCTGTACCTGCTTCTGACACCTTTACAGTCTCCATAGAGCTCTCCTGGTTTGGTGGAAAACCAGTTGAATATTGTCAGCATTTGCTGTCAGGAAGCTACACTGCCCAAATGACTCTTCCTGGTGTCTGGAAACCAGCTACATTCTGTCCTTATTTTCTGTTCATGAAGATAGTATTTTCTGCTGTGGCCTTGTGTCCATTTCCCTGTATTCATCCTAGGCTGTAAACACCTGTCCCATGGAAACGCTCTTTGTAACGCCCCCTGCATAGTGTCCTGAAGGATTAGGCATTTATTAATAATGATGGCATCACAGGTGACTGTCTAGGCCTCTCAGGTAGGAGTCTATGCCTTGTGTGCGAATCCAGATGGGGCGCAGAGAGGGAGATCAGAAAAGTGCTTGCAGGCTACTGTCCTCTAGAAGCTAAATTTCTGCGCAGTAGATGGAGTACTGAATTTAAAGTGTCTTTTAAATTTAAAAGAGTCTTTTAAATTGCCAAATGCGTGTGTCACAAGTTTGACTATCTTTAAAGTAGTCCCTTCCTCCCTGGAGGCTGTAAGCGGTAGAATGCCAGGCCATTTCCTTCTTGTTTTTCATTTGTTCATTTTCTCGCCCTCACGTTGCTTCATTTCACTTGTATTATTAAGGATTGAGGAGAAATTTGACTCATCTAAGGCTAGAGAAGGCCTTGTGTCGTTGGCTAATAATTGACAACATGAACATATATGTGAAGTATGGAATATATAAACGGGATCGGTATTTGTAAATAGGAATTCAATTATTATGGGATAACTCGTGGTTTTTTCCAGTAAGGTGGTCTGAAGTCATTTTGATAGTCTACAAATAAATTTAAAGATACAATGACCTAAGTCGTGTAGGGCATGAAGCTTCATACTAAACTTAGGCTCTCACTTTCTTTTAACTTATATTAATAGGATTATGAGCCCTATTTGATTCCAGAATGAGAACTGAATTTTACATACACTGTTGCTGACTTTGTATCCGTAGCCTACTTTATCTTTCAGTATTTTGTGTAGAAGATAAATGCCCTACCCAGATATTTTCTATCTGTTCTCATTTTTTGGGTGTCTATTTGAAGGGTTTTGTTTTGTTTGTTTCTCCTTCATTGGCTGCCCAGGAAGGTCCATCCTGCGTTGTGAGTTTAGCATCTTCTTCATTGTCTCCCGTGCATCCCATTGTCTGTGCGTGCACAGCATGGCCAGCACCACATCTGCCCCCTTGACTGCACAACCACTCCGCACACAAACGCCCCCACCCCGACGCGGAGCATGCCCATGTTCCACATCCCGGCGCAGGGACGGACACTGGAAAGACCTGTGGCTTCAGGTTGTGCTGAACGGTTTCCTTTCCCTCCTGGTTTGCCCACCACAGGTACTGCAATGAGCATTTGCTGTGTCCCCCGCACATGTTCTGGACAGGCTGGGGTCCTTGGGAGCGGTGCACGGCCCAGTGCGGGGGCGGCATTCAAGCTCGCCGCAGGACCTGCGAGAACGGACCTGACTGCGCCGGCTGTAACGTGGTGAGTACGGTCCCCCTCGTTCCCGGCCCCCGACGTAGAGCCGGGAGTCCAGAGCCAGCACACACTAGTGCTCTGCACACGTGCGATACACTGCAAACATCAGGTGTTCTGCAAACTACATGCTCTGCAAACACGACATGCTCGGGCACTAGATGCTCTGCATGTACTCAGTGCTGTGAATGATGTTAAGTTTCTCTGGTTAAGGAGAATGTTTGGAGGAAATACTGGAAATTCACAGTAGCTGGGAGGCTTCCTGAATTAGAGATTCACTTATGGAACGAATCGCCCTAGGGGTTTCTCAGTTCTGATTTCTGAGCTGTGACAAAAGCTTTCGTTTGCTTAACTCTGGCCCCTAGATTTGGTTGGAGACAGTGGCGTAAGGACCCCACACCAACGTCTCAAATGCAGGATGAACCTGAGACCCTCTGCGGGTGGGGAAGCTTCGTGCAGCTGTTGTCAGAGCCCAGTGGGGCCAATTCAGGGGGAATAAAAGACAACCTACGGTTCTGATTTTCCTCCGCCTTAGGCCATAATTCCTTTAACGCTCTAAATTCTCAAAATCCCACCCGTGCAGGCACCTTTCCCAAGGCCCGCTGTCGCTCCTCTTGGGGCATCTGTGGGAATGACTGAGTGAGTGCTCAGTACCGCCGGCCTCCGCCCCATCCGCCCTCCCCCAGCGCCAGTACCACAGAGCTTATGCGGCCGGGGGCTTCAGGGTGGGGGTTGTCCTGGAGGAGAAGTTCAGCACCAGAAGCTCTGGTTTGGCTCATCTTTCCCGTTATTCTTTGCATTGCTTTCCTAACCTTGGTTCATGAGGCCTAGCAACGTCATTTTGTGCTGCGGTACATTTTCTGTGACATGCAGAAGCCACACGCCGCAGGCGGCCTTGGGGAGTTCCCGGGGAGGAAGAGGGTAGGAGCAGCTGGCCAGCTATGCCCAACCCAGGGAGGGTCCTGCTTCTGGGATTTGCAGTGAGATGCCTTCCTCTTCACACCGGCAAATACTGCAGTCGCTTTGATAGAAGCTGTTACTGATTATAGAAGCACATCTTTGCCGGTTGGCTTGAATTCCGTATTGGCCAGGAAGGATCCTAGTGCCAGTTTAGAATGATACATTTATTGATATTTCAGATGCTAAAAATTAAAATTATGTATTAAAATGTCAAAGGTAAACCTGTGAACACTCACAGAGTACACCACTGCCCCAAATAAATTCAGGGCCCAGTGATCATGGACAAAGCTTAGAAAGGCACATAGCAAGGTCTGTCTCACCAGCTGGCAGACCACAGGGATGGATGGCCTGGAGTCACTCTTGCCCTTTACATTCCAGAACTTTACCAGGGGCTCAGTAAACATTTCACATCATTTACTTTCTTATTGCAAATTGACTTCAATACTCACAGTTATAAAGAGTTTAAGCAGGATACCTGGGTGGCTCAGTTGGTTGAGCGTCTGACTTTGGCTCAGGTCATGATTTCAACGGCTCATGAGTTCAAGCCCCATGTTGGGCTCTGTGCAGACAGCTCAGAGCCTGGAGCCTGCTTCGGATTCTGTGTCTCCCTCTCTCTCTGCTCCTCCCCCACTCTCTCTCTTCCTCTCTCTCTCTCTCAAAAAATAAATAAACATTAAAAAAATTATAAAGAGATTAAGGAAAGTGTACCAAGCTTCCTGTATAGTCACTGGAATGCGTGTGTGTGTGATACCTCTGATTATAAATGTAAAAACTGAATGTCTTCCTAAAGTGTTCATGTGTTTATTGCTTTGTGTCCAAACTTAAAGAATTATGGTTTAAGAAACAAATATAACATCCGTGTTCAAATCCAGAAAAATGCCACGTGTGTCTCCAATGAGCCTAATGTCAGTTCTTACGTGTTTTTAGTTTTTGGGTATTTTTGTTGTTGTTTGTGTTTCCTTCGTGGCTGTGTCCTTCCAGGAAAGCATCATTGCGGCACAGTGAAACAGCCATCTCTTTTATGATAGAAGCACAATGTTTATTTTTCTTCTCGTGTGGCTTTTCCCACTTATCCAGTCCTCGTTGCTTCGAAGGCAGGGATGCCAGCCTATGCCAACCGAGAAACATAGGCAGGATGGCGGAGGGCTTCGCTTTGTTGGATTGTTTAGAAAATGCATCCCATCAGTGAAATCCCGAAGACATTTGTTTGAAAGTGATCGTCACTTAAAGTAACACGTTCATCTTATTCTTGGTACCCTTTATAAAGCTTGAGCCGCAGAGTATGTTCATTTTTTCATGGTGGTCTTTTCTAGAATAATAGCAGTTGCGCACAGGTATCATTTTCTTTTTTATAGTTTATTTATTATGTGAGAGAGAGAGAGAGAATGGGGGAGGGACAGAGAGAGAGGAAGAGAGAGAATCCCAAGCAGGCTCCATGCTGACAGCAAGGAACCCAACATGGGGCTCGATCCCACAAACTGTGAGATCATGAGCTGAAATCAAGAGTCAGGCACTCAACAGTCGGAGCCACCCAGGCGCCCTGGTAACATTTTGATTTTGGAGCTAAGAAGTTGATTATCTGCTTGCCAGTATCTAGCTGGATGATGGGTCAGGTGACATTTCTGAATCTCGGTCTCCATCTGCAAGAAGGGGACAACATTGCCTCCCCCCAGGGCCACTGTATCAAAGTCAGTGATGCCCTGGGAGGTTCTGGTAGACATCTCACCTAGATCCCTTCACTGAGAACTCTCCTCACTCTCATTTCTGTATTGTGATTCCTGGACTCCTGCTGTCCTACCCAAAGCAAGCTTACTAGAAATGAAAGTCTGCTAATGAAATGTTATTTACACAATAAAAGACAAGTCTGTGGAAATTTGCAGAACTTGAGTTTCCTGAGTCCTATAGCAGTTTATAGAAAAAGAGTTGATTTCAAGTTCAAGTAGGAAAAAGGTATAAAAGACCTGAATCTTTTCTTGCTCCATCATGTTAAATTGATATATTATGAAAAGATTGCCCAAGTGTCACTTGTGCAGTTCATATGTTCTTGCCTTTGAAGAAACGTCCAAACCTTTATTTAAATCCCAATAAGAAGTGTACTTCAGACAGTCCAGGGCCCTCTTTGACAGCTATTAGCTTTTTCCTTGAAACCCTGCTCTTAAAATTCCAAATGTTGACATTTCTTCAAGATCTTGGTTTCAGTTCTTTCGGATAAACTTGCAGAAGTGGGTTTGCTGGACCAAATGGTGGCTCCACTTCTAACTTGTTGAGGGACCTCCATTCTCTTTTCTGTAGCAGCTGCACCGTTTTGCACTCTGCCACAGGGTTTGCTATCCTTCTACATCCCAAGGAATTGAAATCTGGATCTTGAAGAGATCCGTGCACTCAGTGCATGACTATTCCCCATAGCCAAGTGTGGAAACAGTGCAAACATCCGTTGACAGATGAGTGGATTAAAGAAAATGTTCATATGAGAGAACACTGCCCAGCCTTTTAGAAGGAAGAAATTTCACAGTATGTGAAACACGGACGAATCTTGAGGACATCATGCTATGTGAACTTGGGCAGTCACGGGAAGAAACATACTGCATGGTTACACTTACATGAGGTCTCCAAAATAATCAAATTCATAGAATCAGAGAGCAGAATGGTGGTGGAATCAAGAAGCTGCCCAGCGGCTGGGGGGAGAGGGAAATGGGGTATTCCTCATCAGCATAAAGTTTCAGTTAACCGAGATGAGCACATTCTAGAGGCCTGCTGTACACATTGTTCCCACAGGAGTGAACACTTAGAACTTGGAGGGTAGACTATGTTCAGCATTCACAACCAAGTAAAATAGAATGAAATAATTAAAAAAATAAGATTCAGGGCAAAAATTTTCAAATGTTGGTGGCTCGGTGGCTGTCAAGCCTTGGGTGGTTGGGGAGCTGATTGACAGGCAGGGAGTGGACACCTGCGTTGGGTGTAGCCACTTAACTGTGTGAATTGAGGCCCACCACTGTCTTCCTCTGTGCAGTTGATGTGAGGTAGGCATGGTTCTTGAGTTCAAATTCATGTCTCAGCCCCTCCCCACCACTCTCAAAAGTAAATAAATAGGGGCGCCTGGGTGGCTTAGTCGGTTCAGCGCCGACTTTCGCTTAGGTCATGATCTCGCGGTTCGTGGGTTCGAGCCCCGCGTCGGGCTCTGTGCTGACTGCCAGCTCAGAGCCTGGAGCCTGTTTCAGTCTGTGACTCCCTTTCTCTCTGACCCTCCCCTGCTCACGCTCTCTCTCTTTCTCTCCTAGAAATAAATAAAAAAATATTTTTAAAAAAAGTAAATAAATAAACATTAAAAAAAAAAATAGAAGCACCTGGGTGGCTCCATCAGTTGAGCATCTGACTTCAGCTCAGGTCATGGTCTCACAGTTTGTGAGTTCAAGCCCCATGTCAGGCTCTGTGCCGACAACTCACAGCCTGGATCCTGTTTCCGATTCTGTGTCTCCCTCTCTCTCTGCCCCTCCCATGCTCCTGCTCTGTCTCTCCCTCTCTCAAAAATAAATAAAACATTTAAAAAATTTCTTTAAAGAGTCAGACACTTAATAGACTGAGCCACCCAGGCTCCCCCAGAATGTTATTATTTTATATTAATTGTATCTGGCATGGCTGCCTTTTATTTCTAAACTGTTTTGATACTATCTAGTAACCATAATGATAGTTATTACAGCAAGTCTTACAAATTTTAACTTACCAGCTAACATCAAATGAATTATTGAGATGAAGCTGTAATTAAACATACTGGAGTTATTATTTAGGCATGTTATTCTCGACTGAGATCTAGTAAAGCACTCGCAGTAACCCTGGATGCTGGTGCAAAGGAAGAAGTAGAAACAGTGATATTTATTGCATAGCTGCTGACAGTCAGGTACTAGTTCTGTGACGACAGCCCTGTGGATGTGACTTTATTGTACTCACATTTATGGGTGAGGGACGTGAGACTGCACAGGTAAGGGACCTTCCCGAGGGTACTGAGCCTATCTACAGAGAGGCAGGGACCCCAGGAGAAATTGTCACCT